GTCTCCATTGTCACTCTTTTTGAACACAGCTGTTTCTTAAGGCCAGAGTCATCCAGTGATCAGGTTTATGTTTTTCCCTGGTCCACTAGGTCACAGCCACCATTTGGATAATTTTAGCTTTTGGGGGCAAAATTGTCAAAAATGAGAGAATATGGGGGCTTGGATAGTAGTGCTACCTCGCCTCTGCTTCAGAGCTGTACTTTTTAAATTATCCTTCTAAGAACGGGGTCTCCAAAGAATAATGTTCAGCCCATGAGAAAGGGCAAAGGGTCCGAGCAGGGTGACTGGGGACAGTGCATGGAGGAAGTTATTTTGTGATTATTACTGTGCTCAGTGAGCGATAGTTAGCAGCTTTGATTTCTTCCCAAGAACCCCAAACTATAAAATAGGGGAGGGGGCGGAGCAGGATTGAAGCCACAGAATGTCTGCTGTCAATCAACGGCTGGGAATTGTGAGCTACGATTTGGAACATTCAAACCTCCCCCAAAAGTGTTCAAATGGAGATGGGGGCGGGGGCGGAGGGGGCTGCAAACAAATGGGGCAGGGACATTCAAAGGTTGCAAGTGCTGGTGGTGGAAAATTCTAATTAGACATTTACGTCAGCTTGCAAAGCTCCTTATTCTCCCCAAATGTTGGAGTGTTTCTTATTCCATCCGCTCCCATGGAAAACCCTAGAAGGAAAGGTTCCTGGGCTCTTGTGGACCCATAGGATGAGGAGTTTCAAAAGTGGCCACACAGGCACTGGCTGGAGGTTCCCTAGCTGCTTGGACACCAAATTGGGAATAGAGAACGACGCAACGCAAGGGAAGTCCTGTGTGCCCATCCGTCCATCCTCTCGGCCCACTTGCAGGCCTGCTGGCCCAGCACAAACAGCTCCCCACTTGGCCCCAGGTGCCCATTTCTGGCTACTTTATGGTCACTTGGCCCAGCTTTGATTCCCGGGAGTAAGTGTTCATGATCGCAAATTTGGCCAAAAGATTTTTTTCATTAGCCTCCAACATTTCCTTTCACCTCCAACCTCCAGGCTGGGCAGGGCCTTTCCCTTTGGAGCAGGGGGCAGAAAGCCTGGGGGCTGTGGGGCTGACCCGGAGGCCCTGCTGTCAATCACCCGCTCGCCAACCCCGCTCCCTTTCACGCCGGGCAGCTGGACCCATCGCTGTCAACCAGGTAACAACCCCCAGACAATAGGGGCCTGAAAGCCTGGTCTAGACACTCTTTTAGCCACTTATTCGCTGCTCTTGGCAGCTGTTGAAGCATAAATAAGCAGTTTGTAATCAGAAGGCTGACATCATCGCAGCTCTGCTGAGAGGGGATTGTTCCCCGGCACTGAGCAGGGCTTGTGTGTGTGTGTGACAACAGATTCCGGGGTGGGGATGCAGATTTGTGCCATGCTAAGCTGGCCTTTCTTTGATTTACAGGAGACAATTGGATCAGGTCCGCGGCTCCAGGCCGCACCGGAATGATGGTTATTATTTTTTTCCCTGCTCAGTGTTTGAGGAGCAGTAACTCGGGGTGATGTGCTGTTTGGGAGGGGGTGGCATGGGCTAGGCTTGGGGGAGCTGGCAGGCCCGCCAGCCAGGAAGTTTGATGCTAGACATCTTCTGGGCCTGGGGACCCACAGCCCCTTGGAAAGTGCCTGTGGGTGGGGTTTTGGGGAGACATCAAGGGCAGGTTTGGTACTGATGTGTGTGTGTGCACATTTTGAGAAACAAATCTTTCCCACAAGGCAGCCGAGGAGCGAGTGCTTCTTCCTGCTCCTATATATATGCCTGTGCTTCAGGATCAAGTTTGCCATTCAGAGTGATTGGCAGTCATCCTCCCACAAGGCACAGCCCTGACCCATGGCCGGAAACCCAGCTCTGGGTCACCTGAAGCACTGGCTAGGACATCCCCTGGCTTCTTCCCCCTCCTCCAGTCCGCTTTGTTACCAGGAGTAGAGATGGCAGACCTTCTTTATTTACCACAATTGATTTTTTTATGATTGTCTGGAGGGTGCTCCCGAAGCCAGGGCAGCGAGCTCCTCTGCTTCCTGTAACAGCATGGTTCGATTGCCCTACTGTTCCCACTGACCCTGACCCAGGGCCTGCCCGTACCTGGCCCCTGGTTACCTGCCAGCATTTCGCACGGGCTGCTACCTGAGTAGCCCATTCAGGTGGTTTTGCCCATCTCCAATTTCACTTCCTAAAAAAAAAGTCCAGTTCAACAAAAATATTGACTTTCGATCTCCCTGAAGGTTTCTGATGTTCGTTTGCTGTAAGTAGCTCGTGATGTGGAGCACAAAGGCATTTCCAGAGTGCGTGTTTCACAAAACGACACAGCAGATAATTGAAATTTATTTGCAATTTTCAAACTACAATAAACACAATTCTCCTTTTCTTTCATTAATAATCGCACGGCTAATGCATAGCAATCCCTCCACAGCTTTTACAAGCAAACTTGAGCGGCTGCGTTGTAATAGCTGGAAAAGTTAATGTAGCTTGAACAAGGTTTCTAATTGTCCCTGTCTCTGTCATATTTGTCTACTTGAATGGTCCTAAATACCACAGCGATTAATTACTACAGAGCAGGTATTACAAGATGTTATCATCTTCCCCAACTGTCTGGGTGAATGGAGAGAAGGGGAGATTGCCAGTGTTTCATCTTTGCTCTTCCTGTAAGGCACTTTAACCAGAAGATTTAACGTGTCAAAGTTAACTGCGTTGTCTAGCAGATATTCACATTCTAATTAAAGATTAAGAACGTAGTACATTACACTGTGATTTGTCATACATGGCTTGTTAAATAGGAAACCTACCGGGATTCCCTAACATTTTATAAACATTATTCAGGGCTTTTAATGTGGGCAAAGCGAAAGATTATTCAACTGCATTGCAGTATGGAAAGCCAATCGCCCCCGCTCTGGCCCCACACCCAACCCCCCATAAATAACGAGATGCCACCCCTCGTGCAGTTTGGAGACTGTTTTGCCACAGAAATTTTGTTCAAACCATGAATCACCTCTGGCTTGTCTCTGGCAGCGGAGGGAGGATGTTTATTATTAACCCTGGGCATTTGTATTTCTTTATTTCTTTTCCTTCGGCTTTCAGCTGTCGGCTGTCAGGGAGTAGAGAAGGTGAGAGTCTTTGTCTGTGTGCGAGGGCCATAGGACCCGAGGAAGAGGAAAGTGTTTCAATATGCAGCTGAGCTTTCGGCGGAGGCTCGCAGCCCGGCCAGCGCCTGTGCCAGTACCACCATGCCACAGGCCTGCTCACATCCTATGATTGCCTGAGGAATAAATTAATGAGGTTACTGAGACACCCAGCATTTGCATATTCACGGATGCTTATTAGGTAGAAAGTGGATACCAGGTGCGCTGAATTTGGGGGAGAGAGAGCCTGTTAAGGAGGCATACCTTCTCGTTCTGCAGAAAAGGGGTGTTCCGTCACCAGAAAGATACCATGCAGGCAGAACTCCTACTTAATGATAATCTGGATAATTGCAAACGAAAGGCCAAGCAGAAGAGGGTCCTGCCTGAGAGCAGCCGAGCAGCCTGCACGGTGCCCTTATTAGAGCAGACCTGATGCAGTGGTTCTGGGGCAGAAAGGAAACAAACTCCATTTGCTCTTCTTGGATTTTAGGCTATAATTATGCTGATGGCGTGCACAGATGAACAGGATGCCGAGGTACCTAATGCAACATTATCCATTTAAAGAGACCTTTACATTTGCCACTGTGATGCCAGACCGGTTCCAGTCCCAACTGCAACAGGAAAATGCTTTTCTAAGAACATGATGTCCAAGCCAGAATTACAGAATCCATCTTGACTGTTTCTCCGAGGGGTGTGGACCAGAGTGGTTTCGTCCTGCGAGTGCTTTTTGTCTCATTGTTGGAGGAAAGTTTCACTGCTGCTCTGCAGGGTGGCATGGGGTCGACTCCCTCAGATGCAATGTGGGCAGGTATTCCTGTCCTCCTGGGAACCCAGAAGCAGGGCAAGGATTGTCCACGCCGCACAGCACTGTGCAGTGGCAGGCCTGCCTTGCCTTGATTTTTTTTTAATTTATTGCTTTCATTTTATACAAGTTAGGTTTTCTTTTAATTTTTATTTCCTCTCTAAAGAAAATAATTGGCAGCATTCAACCTCAAAGACACGGTCTAGTCAAAACCAGGATGCATTTGGTTTTGAGAAATAGTGCTTGTTTACCTACAAGCTCTACCCTGCCTGTTGTTTCACCACCCCCTGGCAAGGGCAGGGGGTGACCCCAGGCTAAAACATGGCCAGCGTGTAGTACAAGCATGCATGCATGTATGTGTGTGTGTATACATATATGTACACACACACGCATGCATTTGGATTCCATGACATGCATTCTATATCCAGTCTCTTTTCTTAAATTTAAAAATAAAATTTCCAATTCTAAAAAGCATTCCGAAAAACTGTATCTTTATTTTTAAGTGATTTCTTTTATAGGAGAAAGCCAAAATAGAAATAATTTGAAAAGCAAAATAAAAGCAAGATGTGCCAAGAAGCAAGAGTTTGTGGAGATGGAAGAGGAGCTGGGGGAGGGAGAGGAGGGGAGGAAAAGTGACCAGGATGCCATGTGTGAGTGTGTCTGCTCCCCCTAACTCCCCCACGCAGTTATTGTGCATCACAAACGCATACCCGTAATAACAAAGGCTCTAAACACAAATGAAGTATCTTCCTGAAGAAAAGTCCAAGAGGCTTTTAGTGTTTATTTCATTGTTGCCTAAAACTTGTTTTTTAGTTTTTCAAAACTCAGAGGTCTAACAATTATTACAACTCTCCCCTGCCCTCCACCTCACCAAAAAATAACCTGCACATGTTCTACAATTCAATTTGTTTTCTCATACAAATTTCTGATGCACTTATAAATAAATAAACACACATCACAATTACTCCAGCATGGCAGCACTATAACCAGGAAACTATATGTTTTCATAAACTACGGTATTACCGGTTATTTTTTAGGATTAGTCGATCATATTGTTTAGGGAATATTTTTAAAATATATATATTCCACCTGGAAGGGCCTGCCTGGTACCCGCACAGCCGCAGCAGCAGTGGAGCCCAGGGTTTTTGTCACACAGAGCACAGATTTTTTTGATTATGTAGATTTCTGTTCCTACTGCAGTTTCATATGCAAAGCATGCGTCCGCCACATCCATGCTATCTCCTAAAGCAGTCGTTCTGAAACCCAATCTGGGGACAGTGCAGACTAAATAAAATTTCATTTTGATTTGGCCTCCCGCTGCGAATGGGACTGCTTTGTCTCAGCCGACAGAAGCAGCAAGCCAGAAAGGTATGTCCTGTTTTGCATGGCTGGTACTGTCTTGAGGCTCCTCCCTGGCAGCCCTGCTCCGGGCTCAGCCCTCCACTTCCTTCTTCTTTCTCTTCCATTTGCTCTCCCTCCTAGCCTGCTTGCCCTGCACCTTCTACCTGCAGGGCACAGCCATAGCAAGCCCACACCGATTGTTTACTGTGGCATATGCTTAATAGCTTGCCTGGCTGTTTGCATTTTCCCTGTCTTTGTTGTTGCTGGATTTTTTCTTTCTTTCTTTCTTTCTTTCTTTCTTTCTTTCTTTCTTTCTTTCTTTCTTTCTTTCTATTTTGGTTTTTGTGTTGTGTTGTTTTCCTCACCCACCTTGGCTTCCCATGTTTCTCCAGGTGTTGAATACTAAAATACTGACTGAAAGAAAATTGAATAAGTACTGCTCTGATGCTCCGGAGATTTTACTGGAAGATTTGTCGTGCTGAATTTTATTGTGAATTTGAAGATGCATTGAACAGCTTTGAAGGACTTTAGCTTTCATGGCCCTTGTGAGCTGCTTTGGCAGGAAAGCAATCGCCCATTTTAGAGAAGGAGGGAAAATAGGACATAAAGACTCTTCCCTGGGACTGGATTGCTTGGCTCTGTGTTTATAAAATGCACTGTGGTGTTTGCTGAACTGCTGTAGAAGATGGCTTCTTGTAAACAGTGACCTTCCCTGGGAGTCAGGAGAGGCCGCTGTGCCAGACTCTCTTCACATACTTGTCTCTTGTGGCTGGAGAAGGGGCCACCAGCCATGCTGCTCTCAGAAGACACTGCAGATAAGGTGGTGGACGCCAGGGGACAGACAGGTGTGGGAATTTATTTGCCAAGCCCAAATTTCCCCTTCGACTGTCCCTGCCCTTGACCAATCCGTCAGGTGCCATAGGGAAAGGTGCATTCTTCCCTGTCTTACATACTGGCATATCATTAATCTAAATTAGGTGACAGCAACCTGGTAAAGATGGAGATGGAGTAAATGAAAGATAAATTGCCTAAGAGGGGAGCAGGGAGTAACTTCACTCTGGCTCAGGAGTTCTGCATAAGTAATTCCACCCGGGATCTACATTAACAGACAAAAATACTAATTAGCTTCCCAGGGACTTGGTCCCCGGCCCCTAAGCAAACAAAAAGTAAGTCATGGTACACAGCTTCATACTGGGTCAGAAGCAAACTTTTTAAAATCCAGACTACCAGAGCCATCCCAGTATTTGGGGGTGAGAGGCTCCCAAGAGTGATTCCTGCCACTGCTGTAACTCAGTGGTGAGCTCTTCCCCATTGTAATACATTATGCTCTTCCCATAAAATCTCTAGGAAACTATATAGCCAGGAGCCTTAGGGGTGGGGGATCATCAAAAGCTTAGGCAACTTGCTGATAGCCTCTCTACTTACCAGGCCTAAAAAAAAAAAAAAAAAAAATCAAGAAACAAAATGAAAGTTAAAGATGTGGAAGAAACACAGTGTGAATACAACATGTAATGACCTTCAGTGGAGACGCAGGGAGGAGGAGGGAGAGGAAGAAGCCAAGCTGGACCTGGCTGGAGAGTTTGGTCAGCCAGCACAGGTGCAACTTCTAATACTGCTCAATGGTGAGTCTCTTTCTCTGGCCTGGCAGTGAAGGCCACACAGTCATTTCATAGCTGGTTTCTGATAACCAAAGGTGCACATTTGCTTTCCGTCCTGTTTGTAAGTGTGCTTGTAGGGGTCACTTTTTATAAATGTGGCCTCTTTTGATAACTGACTGACTATTTTAAGAAGTAAAATCTGTTCTATAAGTGTTTTAAAAAGTATTGCTATTTGGCAAGAATAAAATACATGTTTTTGAAAATTAGAATGCAAACACAAGGTATTCAAGGAGTATTAGTCTATAAAAATAGACAGCAAATACGCTTACATTTCAAGTATGTATATCTATATGAATATATGTACATGTAATATACAGAGACAAAATATATACATAAGTATAGATATATATGCAATGAGAGAGAGAGAGAGAGAGAGAGAGAGAGAGAGAGAGGCTGAACCAATGACGCTATGGCAAAAACTTGCAAAGCTTATCTTGAGGACAAAATTTAATAAACACATTTGAGAAGCAAACTCCGCACTGTGGTTCAGGATTTTTCTAAACCACAGCGATGCATACATGCAATGTCTTCCAAAGGCTGCCGCTAAGCAGCCCGACATTGTCGTGAACTGGCAGGTCCACAGTGGATGATCATTACAGTGCGACTGAGCCCACAAGGAGGTGTGGGGAGAAGGACCCGGATGTAGAGGGACAGTGCCTGGGCACAAGACACAACACGCAGGGCTCCTGGTGTGCGTTGTTCCACGAGGTCCAGCCCGCGCTCTGGAAAGCCAACTGCTCTGTGGGTCCGCGGGCCCTGAGCAGGGCCATGGAGAGAAACGCAGACCTGATGACCTTCCGGGCAGTGCTTGGCATGAGAACCACTGATGTGCAGATGTTGCCTTAGCTGGGTCTCTGTGAATACAAGGGAAACAACTGTGAGGTTGAATCTAAATTCCAGCCAGTAACAAAATTTTCTCTTCCTTTGCACCTTCTGCACTCTGGCTTCTAGTGATAGTGAGTTCTTTGATGATGGGACAAACGAGGAACAGAAGGTGTGGGCTAAGCATGACCCAGAGGCCCCTGCTCACCAGAGAGCCAAGTATACACCACCGGGTGGTCATTGATGAGGGAAGGAAAGGGGTTTGAAAGGACAGACCCACCCCTACCTGGGGCCACAGAGAGCAGCCAGGCTCAGGAGCCTCAAAATCCTTTGAGCATCTTCCCGAGGAGATAACTTACACACAGGACTCCAAATCTCAAGGATCCATGAGTCCCACAAAGGTGAGCTCTGACCAGCGAGGAGGCACAGGAGGAAGAGAGTCTTAACTCTCTGAAAATGCCAGTGTGAAATTGAAAAAGGGGTTCGGCTGACCTGCGCTCTGCAGCTACTTTCTGGTTACCCAGAAAGCATCTGCTGTATGGAAGCTAACAAGAAATAAGTGTTTTGAAAAACCTGACCAGGGTAATTTGGAAAGTTTGATGTTTTGTTTTTTGTTTTTTAAATTTCTGTAGGTGAGATAAAGACCAGAAACAAGAGGAGGCTAATTAGAATGCAGGCCCTGAGCTGGAGTAGGGACCCCCGAAAAAAAGTCTATGGAGCTGTCTGTCAAACATCTCACTGGACTTGCAATAAAATTGCTTACACTGCCTTCATGGTTGGATTTGATAGAAAGATCATTTGCCATGCCCGCTTTAGCCTGAAAAACTCCCCTTTTGTGTGGATATGTGTGAGAATGACAAAAACTCTACCCAGAAACTACCACGGGAGCTGCAGACACTTAGATCTTCTGTTTGCATTTAGGCAGCCTCAGAAAAACCCCAGATTCAGGTAAGATGAGTCCCCAAGTGATTTCAAACCCAGATTTGCTGTTGGCGAGCAGACTTCTGTAGGTCAAAAAGTCTGTGTAGTCTAACCTGAGTCTTCACTCAGCTTGGAAGTGAACTTAGACCTCAGTGTTTTACCCTTGGACGTGTCCTGCCAATTTTAAAGTTCAGGTTGGACAGCCCTCGAGACACATGGCACTCACCCACCATGGTAGCCTCCAGTGATTGTGGAATTACCTCAACTGGCCTTATAAGGCCTCCATCAAAATGGTCACTGTGCTTGTCACGGGGTTTGGCAGAGGGAGAGGCTCAGGACTGGGCTTCACTGGCTTCTCTTGGTTATGTAAGGTGTAGGTACTGCTGTCCTAGGTAAGGTGGTGCTGACCCATCGACCAAAAATGAACAGCTGTCCAGTGAGCCAACTGAGCTTAAGGAGGAAACTTGAGGTTCTCCTGATGGGGAGAAATGGGCAGAGGCTGTGTCCTAGGAAGAGCTGCAGGTTGTTTCCAGGTCATGCAGCCCAGATGAAGGCTGAGGAGCTTCTCTAATGCAGCCTGCTGCAAGGAACACAGGCACCCTGCCATACCTGAGAGAGAGTGGACAGGGCAGCCAGAAGGTCCAAGGCTAATGCAGAGTTCCTCCCTGTGAACCTGAGGGTTGCAACTTACTCCCGAGGCTACTGCAACTCATAGGTTGCACTTGCCTGTCTCCAGGAATCATCTTAGAGGGAGAAAAGGGTGGAGAAGAAAACATAGAGACTGGGCATGTTCTCAAAATGGAAGAATGAGCATCAACCAAGAAGGACGGCTTAAATGATCAAGCTTGACAGCTCTAAACTTGATTGGACATTTAATTAATTTCTCTCCCCTCTCCTTGCTCATTACTGACTAAGACTTCAGGAAGAAGCCCAGATAAGAAAGGAAAATAAATTATATTTTCATTTTATATACAGGTTGGATTGTAACTGAAATTTCACAGCCCAGCTACACTTGAAAGATCCTAAGCTGTCACATGAACATCAATCCTTCATGACCCACGGAAGCATTAGACACTTCATATACCAACCTTGGAAAAGTGGGGGAAGGAATGTTGGCTCAGAACTGATTGCACAAACCAAGCTACTCTTCTTCAATACCTGCCTGCAATACAACTTTAATTCCAGAGCGCCAAACAGCTCTGGAATGTTAATTTCTCACAAGGCCACTATCTCTGAAAGGATACTTCACACAGAGGCAAGGGCCCTGGTTCTCCTACCAATGTCCAGCACCTGCAGTCCTAGACCAATTCATGGATCAGGCTCAACAGAGGCCCAACGAGAGTCAGTCACTCTCTCCCAGGAATTCAGAATGAAAACAGGGAAGCTGCTTTGCTCAGAGCAGTTGAAATCAAATGTGCCACTGGGATGTGACTTCTTTCTAGAAAGCTGGAAGCTGATTTTCTTCTCCTTCCTAAGAGCTGGTTGGCCGACTCATGTTGAGTTCCTTGAAATGGGATTGTGTTATCTTAGCCAGCTCCTTCCCTTCTGCTTAAGTTTGATGGAATTTCTTTTTGTTGTTTTGAACTTAGAATAGTTGTGCATGCTACCAAAATGTATGTGAACAAAAAATTCTCAGAAATCAATGCAGCATTCAAGACATCCCACTGGGTTGCACCCAGAGGTAAGAGAGATGGTATTCTTCTCAAAATCTCGCCCTTATGTTCATCTACAGAAATCATGGGACTAAGTTTAGTAATTGCTGTAAATGTTCAGGATTTCATCTGAAATTTTATGGAAAGGTGGAGAAATGTCATTAGATATGCCACCAGTTTGCAGCAACATGATATAATGTTATACTTGAACTAAGGGCTCCAAGCTACTGTCTATGGGAGAATTTTCCACAGTTCTGTGATGCCCCTTCTGTTTATACTGTGTGTAACAGTATGAGTGTCCAGTGGAAAGTAAACAGGAAACAAACATTTCAGACAACAGCTCAGAGAGCTGAGAGGGACAACAGCCTAGAAGGATAAAGACAGAGCAAACCACGATTAGAAGACTCAAGAAATGACTTGGTTACTTTTCTGTCACTGCTGGGACAAAATGCCTGACACTCAAAATTAAGGAAGAAACAATTTATTTAGCTTACAGTTTTTGGAGGTTTAAGCCCGTACTCAGCAGGTTCCGAGATGCAGTCGCATGGCATAGGGACAGCTGTTCATCATGGCAGAAGGTACCAAAGATGATAAGAACAAAAAAGAGCAAAAGGGAAGAGTGTGTCCCCATATACTGAATGTGGGCCACACCCACATTGGGTGTCCTGCTTACCCAATGATCCCAGCACTGGACCGTGACTCAGCCACAAACTCTAGAATCTCCTCCTATGGCCACCAGAGAGTTGGGGAGACACCCAGACACGAACCACAGCAAGACACAAGAGGAATCTAATTATTTCTTAAACAGAGACCAGGGACTGAGTTTTACCACACTGAAGAAAACTCATGGAAATCTCAAATTTTTAAAATTTATTACTCTGAAAGTTTGCTAGTGAATTATGGTCTTTTGAGCTTGCCATTAAAACGAATCAGTGAAGTGATTTAGGCATGAAAATGAATAATGTCATAAATGAAACATGAAGTAAGACTGGCTCTTCACCTGGAAGGCCACTGTGATAGAACATGCAATGACAGGAATTGTTACTAGTTCTGCATGTATTTGTGTCACCATATATACAACATGCAGTATGATGCAGGGTCTCAGAATATATATATATATATATATATATATATATATATATATATAATATATATATATAATCAGACCTAGAAGAAGAATAAGTATAAAATAGACTACTCTGGGGGAGAAAGATTTCTTCCAATTGTTTCAAAGTTTTGCTTCACGCCTGTCTTAAAGGGCAAAAGAAGGTGAATCCAGCTATCCCATTACCACCCACCCACATTAAGAATGCATTTATTCCTCTTAGTCCATTATAGACTGCTGTGTTCTCCATTTAGAGACCTCTCCTTCTTCCTTCTTTCATTTTTTCTTGTTAAAAATACTGGAGTCTCTTAACATTCAAGAAGAACGCTAGGGGAAAATAGAGTATGTAGGAACCAACTTGTATTTCAGAGCAATAACTCATGGTCTGGGGTCTGGCTCAGTGATGACCGAGAGTGCTTTTTCCTTTCTCCGCCAGCTCTGAGTCCATGTGTGGAGCGTGTGCA